CACGCCTTCTTTATATCTAATAGTCCATTTATTAAATTTTTCATAATCGGTTAAAATACTTAAAATTTTATAAGTAATTTAATTATTAATTTTTCATTAATGATGCATACGTATGTGGTCTTATTAGTTTTAAATCTACTCACTCTTTATTTTCTTTCTCGTTTATAAACGGAATCTTGAAGAAACCACCCTCGATGGAGTCATTCATATCAAGTATGTTGCCCATAAATCCCATGTTTAGAAAATAATTACCAGGTGATAATTCATTTCGGACACGAACCATTAGCACGGACGCAAACCATGTGCGGTTACCGAGCGAAACGACGTAGTTGATGCGCACTTTCTCAGGCGGCGCGTCGGAAAATCGGGCACACAAAAATTGACGAAAAACGCCGGGATGGCCTCTCTCAGATTTCTCTCTGGTTATAGTAAAAGTAAATTATAGTTCAATGGCATGGATATATATAGCACGGACATGAACCAAATTGATTGACAGTTGAAAAATGGATGTGACTCAGTAGTTCCAATTCCTGAAAGTGGATGTGTGGCGCTACTGTACGGCCTAGACTGGCATAGAGTTGGTCAGGTTGGTCAGGTAGAGTCAGAGAGAAACCTGGTAGAGTCGGCCGGAAGTTTCGAAAACGCCATTTTCCGATCAAATCACGTGACCAACTTGATACGTGGAATTTTCAAATTGCTGAAACTTCAGTTTGTATACTAATGCTGGGTCTACAATGGGAAGTCGCAAAGTCGTGAGTCGCAAGAATTGACCAATCACGGTCGATTATTCTCCTCAAATTCGATTGTGATTGGTCAATTCTTGCGACTCACGACTTTGCGACTCGCATTGTAGACCTAGCATAAGGCTGCGTTCCGATATTCACTGTCAATGTCAATACCGAAAATCTATAGTGTAGGTTACTTACGTAAACTACAGATTTTCAGTACTTGCACTTTATTTTAAATAGTATTATTAAGATTTAAAACATATCAGTAGTATTTATTTCAAGTTAGAGTATTTTATAATTGCTGAATACTTTAAATTATATATTATTAATTGATATGACAACAACCTGTCAAATGTTTTAAAAAACCGGAAGCGCTAATCGGGAAATGGCAGAGCCAATCAGCGAAAGGAACACTAGTTGGCTTAACTCTTCCTTGACCAACTCTACCTAGAGGCTTAGATAATCATCTAGGCCTCTAACTCTACCCAACGGCCAGCACTAATGTGCACTGAGTGCGCACTGGTGCGTCCAACCGAATTCGCTATATGAATACCAGCCATTAATTTTGATGTAGCCACAGTATAATACTATGACGTAGCTATAGACATTGTATATGTCTATGGATGTAGCATTTACATTGATAACAATTGATAGTAATTGTGCTAGTCAGAGTTGAGAGTATACCTAGTCGAAGCAAATCAAGAAAAATGATCCTAGAAGATTATAAAGAAATTGTGGGATTTTGTGCCATGTTTACTACGATGGCACAAATGTTATCGGGAACGTAAGTGTGTTACGATAATAAATATTTATTTATCGTCTTTCTCTATTTAGGTATGTAACTCATGTGTATCATACATTATGTAATCGATCATTAAGGGGATCCTGCAGTGACTGGCGAACTTCCTCGATGTCGATAATGTCAACCTTTCTAATTTTGTTTTCCCTTTATCTGTCTTTGTCTAAAGCCCGTATCAGACTACGGATTGGGATTGAGATTGGATTGAAATTTAATCAATCAGAATAAAGAAAATTGATCTCAAGTTTAGTAAACTTTGCTCTGATTGGTCAAATTTCAATTCAATCTCAATCCCAATTCGTAGTCTGATACGGTCATTTACGATTTCACGAAAATCATTCAATTCAATGATTTTCGATTTTTCTATTGAATCAACGTTCCATCGAAATTTGTTTACATTTACATTAAATGGTCTACGTTATTTAATAACTTTTGTAGCTTAAGGGGTTAGTCTACTCTATAGATCGGGCAGAAACAGGCGAATTTTCAGGAATTAATTTCAGACAAAATATCGGTGATACATAAATGATTTTTTTTCATTATCTTTATTAGGGTTTCAAAAACATGTACAAATTTTTTGGTGTAAAAAAATTTCAAAATAGCGATGAGGCACTCCTTCGCGCGCAACTATGCTTTTCAGACGGTGTACATATATGGTTTCTGAAATGTGGGTGGTCTGAAAAAAAAAATATATATGGTCATTAACTATATTGTATTGTCTTCGGAATGACGGACTTTTTTTCTCTCCTCGTTTTTGGCGTCAAGAAAAAAATTCTTGAATTTTTTATTGCATTTTTGAAAAATTCAGAAATTTTTTTCTTGACGCCAAAAACGAGGAGAGAAAAAAAGCTCCGTCATTCCGAAGACAATACAATATAGTTAATGACCATATTTTTTTTCAGATTACCCACATTTCAGAAACCATGTACACCGTCTGAAAAGCATAGTTGCGCGCGAAGGAGTGCCTCATCGCCATTTTGAAATTATTTTACACCAAAAAATTTGTGCATGTTCTTGAAACCCTAATAAAGATAATGAAAAAAAAATCATTTATGTATCACCGATATTTTGTCTGAAATTAATTCCTGAAAATTCGCCTGTTTCTGCCCGATCTAGGGTAGACTAACCCCTTAAATGAAGTAACACAGATCACGGTCACGCATCAAACATAAATATAATAACATTTCGGTTTGATTGAATTAATAAAACCGTGAGTATTCTGTTTCGGAAACATTCAGGATAAATTTTCATTTTTTAACACTTCTCATGTCTGTGGCTTTGAATATCTATGACCATTGAAACTGTCTTGGAAAAGCTTCAATCGCAGGTGTTCGAAAATGCATGGTTCCATTTTAAAAAATAAAGATGACATTCAAATCTCCTAAGCACCTCTACCTGGGAAAAAATGTTTACCTCCACAATATGTCCCCCTCGATACCACACAACTTTAAATTAAAGCATTTTTTCTTATTTTTAGAACTGTGGGAGTTATTCCAGGTGGCCTTAGGTGCCTCACCCTGTATATCATGATTGATATAATAAAGATTTTACTTTGGAATTCAAAGGAAACTTGACATAATGCACTGTTTCTTGCAAATTAAATATAAAATATTTTTTAAATTTTAGTTTCTTACAAATATTTATTAACCTCCATAAATATTAAGAAACGTTTAGAAAGTATTTTGAAAAATTAAATATATTAATATTTATTTGATTGGTATCTATAACGACTGATATTGTACTGTATTAGTGTAAAGCTGCAATAACAATTTCATCATATTTTATGACTAATCAGTTTAATATCTGTTTACTATTAATATCTGCTAAGGGAGAGTATAAATCGTTATTAGGTATAATATAATAAAAAATTATAATGTTTTAAAAAAATGTTTATTTATACTAAATTTTATTACTATAATATATAATACTATATTTTTTATATTTTATAGACTAATATGTCGCAACATATATAAGAAAGGTTCAGCCAGAGGAGTTGATCCAATGCCCTTTCTTGGTGGCATAGCAATGTAAGTATACGTATAAATTATATATACACACACACACACACACACACACACACACACACACAGGGTGTTACATTTCAAACGTAACAGGTCGAATATCTCGATAACTATATAAATAAAATATCGAGGTCCGGCTTTTTTAGGTTGTATTGCTTCATTTGACCTTAACGCTTCCACCTAAGATCAATTTTTTTGTTATCGAAATTTGTCCGCCTTGAAACAATACAACTTTAAAAAAAATCGGATCTTGATATTTTATTTAGTTATCAAGGTATTCAACCTGTTACGTTTGAAATTTAACATCTTGTGTATATAAGTTATTTAATTAAATAAAGCATTAACTAAATTTTACATATTTTACAATAAATAACGATATATTATTTATATAGCGATACATTTATATAACGATATTTTTTTAGTACTCTCAATTAGTAATTAATTGTAAAGATTAAATATTTGTACGTTTATATATTTGTAATAAAATAATAATGTTACAAAAATTGAAAGTAAGTAAACTATAGATTATGTAACCAAATATTTTTTTAGATGCATATTGATGCTTCGACACGCTTGGATGTTAGGTGATTCTAACATGATAAATGCTAATATATTTGGTTTATTGACAAGCACGATTTATATGATAATATATTACCGTTATGCACCAAATACGGTACTTTTTCTGATATTGATATATTATTTTAAAATATATTTGATTTGCACGTGATCGACATTTTTTGTTTATTATATATTTTTTATTTTTAGAATGAAGTGCTTAAATTAACATATAAAGTAACAATCTTTGTTGTAATTTTTCTTGTCTATGCACAAATAGAAGATCCAACAAAGGTTGAATACAGATTTGGCATTGTGATTACAGTACTTCTCTTACTTTTAATTGCAGCTCCTCTTGTACATCTTGTGAGTAGATCTTTTTTTGAGTTTTTTCTATCTTTTTTCTATACATAGCTTAAATTTCTCTAAATATATTTTAATCATATTTAACACGAGAGTGTCATAATTAAAATATTGTTTTTTAGAAAAAGGTTATACAAACAAAAAACACAGAAATCCTTCCATTTCCACTTATCTTTATGGGTACACTAGTTTCATTTCAGTGGTTATTGTATGGTATTATCATTGATAATGTTTTTGTTATTGTAAGTATTCTTTGCAATGTAGTTATTTAAATATTTAAAAAGACACAAAATATTATTTTTTATATACATATATTATTTTTATATACATTATATATTTTATATACATATTGTTAATATTGCATCACATATATTTATAGTTTCAGAATGCAGTTGGTTTGACTCTTAGTGTAGCTCAACTGTCTCTATTCGTGATATTTCCATCCAAAATGTCACAAGTTGAATTATTGAATGAACAGAGTAAAGAAGATTGATTTTTTAAACTTAAAAATAAATTTTTTTATTTAAAATTATTCTTTATACAGGGTGGTTAAATACTCTAGTAGTTAAGTACTCTAAAACATTTTAAGGGGTGATTTCTCACACAAGTGCGTCACGCGTCGCGTCATCCATCGCAACCAATCAAAACATCTTATTTTATTACATTATTTGTGACGGGATGTTTAGATTGGTTAACAACAGACGACGCGACGCGTGACGCGCTCAGTGGAAAAACTTCATATAACCATATGTCCGAAATGGCTTAGGGCCTAAGCAGAATGGCTGTCTTGGCAGTGTTTTATGCCTTAAGT